CCTGATCGGGAAGTTGCAGTGACAGAAACGGTGACGTTCCAGATAAAGTTTGAAAGGAGTAATGCTATTGAGTAGGCTAATATGGCCAAAGATATTTTGTTTTATAAATAAATGTTCATTTAAAAGCAGCCCACGATCAGCGTATTATGTTACCGTTATCCCTTACGGCTCCGATGAGGTTTTATTCTGTCCTTCACGCTGTGACACCTCACAAAAGACTATTTTTAGCCAAGCAGCGCGAAGAGCCGCTTCAGAAACGCAGCGCGGAGAGCCGGTATAAACACAAGCACTGATTAGAGCGGCCGCGATCAGCTCCAGTGGCCGTGGAGCCGTAACGCACCGCAGATGTGTGCAGTGAGGCGCAGATCAGCTCTAACGTCACTGAATCTGCTATTAAAAATGAACCATCCATTCATCATATCATCATATCATCATGCAAAACATACACGACAAATAGCGAATTTTTCATTGCTTATCGAAACGTCATAGCATTTCCACACCGGCGGTGACATGACTGTGGCACCAAATTATTTATGTCCCCACACATCATGTACATCGTCACGCGTTGACGTCATCAAATTGTGATCGGTTTGTGAGATCAGCCAAGTTAGTGAGTACCGATCAAGTCATAAAATGTGATTATCGGCCGATACCGATCTCCGGCCGATCGATCGGAGCATCCCTAGATAGCGCTGACGACGGCCTCCCTAGACTTGCTCTGCTAATGATCAGTGCTGTAGGCAAACTGCTGATTTGGAAACAAAGGTTCAAGGTGGCACAGCTTGCTTGTACAGGGGCAGCTCAACCTCACTAGCGTTCTTGCCCACACGCTAAGGCTTACAGACGGCTATATTCTCTCCGCCGAACAGCCCTGCCAAAAACAGCACCAGACGCTACAGACAACATCTGCTTATAAAGAGAACCTGCTCAGCTACGCAAAAGCACAAGATGCTGGCTGCTTTGACAAAAGGCAGATAAGGTGCGTGCCATACTCGTACGCCCAATTTGTTGCTCGTGTTGTGCGGGCAACAGCGATAAACACGTTCTATCAGATTTACTGACAGCCTAGATGGACGAAGCAATTATAGCAGGTGAGAAGAAGGGAAATATCAGCTGTCGTTGCATATGACTGGACCACAATGCCACCCGTTTGCTCATGTCGTCGTGTAGACCGACACGGCCGTGAAGGAGCTGGGGGATATTGGGAAAAAGCTCTCTCTCTGTTCCTCGGCATTGCTTTTGTTGCAAATTAGTAATTTAATTACTCGTTAGCAACAGTCCATTTTAGTCGTTTTCATCCCAGCGTGATGTAGCCTTAGTTTTTGCATCTCATTAAATGGAGCTTAATGTTGAAGTTGACAGGTAGCAATGTAATTATAGGATTTGATTAGATAGTAAAACTGGGCGAACAAATTAATTGGGCCTAAAGTGTTGTATATAGATAAAAGAAAGTCAAATATTGCTAACTAATATATTACTTTATAATATATTAATATAATTAGTGTTTTATTAATAATTTTATTAAAATAGTTAATTCACATTGTTAATTTATTAACAATAAAAAATAATATGTATTACTAATTATTAATAATACAATTAATTAATTAGTTATTACTATGATTTATTTTATGTTTAAATATTTTTTATTATTAATAATAATAATAACAATAGTTTTTACAATAAATAATTAATTGATAAGTGTTATTATTAGAATAATTCATAATACGAATGATGTGATTTACAGTTATGTTCTTAATTAATAATGTTAATAATAATACTATAGTTGTTGTGTTGTTGTTTTTAAATATAATATTTTATATATTTAAATATTTTATTATTAACAATAATAATAGTTTTTACAATTAATAATTAATTAATCAATGTTATTATTAGAATAATTAATCATAACAATTATTAATGATATGTTAACAATTAATACTGTTAATAATAATACTATAATTGTTGAATGTAGTTGTTTTTAAGTATAAAATTGTATATAATTAAACATTTTACTATTAACGACAATAATAGTTTTTACAATTAATAAGTAATTCAATCAATGGCACTATTAAAATGATTTATAATAACATTGATAACTATTAATGATATTGAATAATAATAACAATAATAATGTAATTGTTGAATGTTGATAATGGTAAATAATACATTTATTAATAATAAGAACAACAATAATAGTGTGTGT